TGGGTGGGTGTGGGTGTGGGTGTGGGTGTGGGTGGGTGTGGGTGTGGGTGTGGGTGTGGGTGGGTACGGATGTGGGTGTGGTTGTGGGTGTGGGTACGGGTGCGGGTGTGGGTGTTGACGGCTTTCTAGCTGAGGAGAAAACCCATACCCCACGCCGACGCCCATCCCACACCTACACCTGTACACACCCACAGGGTGTGGGTGTTGGATGGAAGTGGAGTGTGGGTTTTCTCCTCAGCTAGAAAGCCGTCAACACTCACACCCCAGGCTGTTATAATTCCAGTAGACATATATAAATAAAAAGACGCTGCTCATTGTGAAGAATTTTTATGTACAGGTGATTCAGATTATTGTGGTTCAGAATCATCAGTCCATGGCTTTGCTGAAAAGATAAAATATCGTTGTGCAACACGATGCCCTCGGTAATTTGCTACTTTTCAAAGAAAATATTTAACTAATACTCTAAATGTCTTCACTATTGAATATATTAGTTCGATAGATTTGATGCAAAAACAGTCCATTTACAATATATTATCTAATTTACTTTTTCTAATTACAGAAAGAATGTCGAACATCGACAAAAGTATTTGCAGCCAACTCATTCCAACAACTGACTTTTCTACACTCGTATTGCTGATAAGTTCAAACTATCTAGATTAAAAATAGACTATTTCTTGAATTATTAAAGTATATAGCATAGCTTCCTTGTGAAAACTATTGAAATCATATTTAAAACAAAACTTGATTTTTACGAAAATAGAAGTATGTGATAGAAAATAATATGTTAATTTTTTTTTCTTTTCAAAGTACTGATCCTGATCATAACATCCGGGTGATACCGATCCAAATTCTAAGTGAGAGTGAGGTTGAAATAGAAAGCATTAAAAGATATTTTGGAACAGCAACGAGTAGTGTATATCATTCGTACTAGATCTTTTTCGTTGTTAAGAATGAATGAAGGTAAGAAACGTCTAAAAAGATACGGAGATCATCTTTTTGTTTTACTCTGATTCTCGTCTCAAAAAGAGATTATCGATTATATTAAGAAATTAAATGCGATTAATTATTGTTGATGTCTGAAAAGAACAAATAATAAACGAATGCATTGAGTGATGACTCGTGTCCATTGATCCTATCCACTCTTTCTCCGGTCAAGACCATCCTTGGCTGCTAAACCTAGCAGATAGACAGCATCCGGTATTGCATTTGAATAGATTTCCATATCATGTTTGCTAATCCAAGTAAATGGTTTTCGGCGTAGTTGAAATCTAGCCAAAAGATTGTATTTGTTTTCGGTATCAAAAATATTTGTTGTAGATGTCAAAGATTTAGTTTCCATCAACAATAAATGATCATTCCATTTAATTGTAAAATTACTTCCAAATATTTGCCAATGTTGCTTAATAGAACCTTTCGACCATTTTTGTTTACGATCATCATAAACTTCAAAATCTGCTTCATATTCGAAAGGGTTTATATGAGCTTGAAGTTTACCGGTAACATTCTTTCTTGGATAAGCAATTAATTCAATCGTTTGTAGAATATGATATCTTGACTCAATCCGATATTGAAGATGTTGGCCTGTCTGATCGTAGATGGAATATTCTCTTGCTTTGAATCCACTAAGAAAATCAGCTAAAATAAGATATTGCCGCATCGGAGTTAAAGACATGACAATAGGTACAAGAAGCAAGATTAGAATTCGAAACATCATTCGGTGATAGATAGTAAGAATGTGAAATGAAAGATACTATAAGCAGAAGATTAAATATATAAGTAAATACTTGTGTATGGTAATAGTATTTTTTTTCTTGAATCTCTCTGTATTCATCACTAATTACACCTTTTGTATACTTTACTGATGATCATTCATAATATTTAGAAAGAACAAATCAAATCAATCAAAAATACTACTCCTTACGAACATGAATAAAGAATAGCATTGAAAATGTGAAGACGCTTTTCATGAGTGCAATTCAGAGAATTGATCCCTGCGAGCAATAAGTTGATCTGAATAATTGTTTAAGATCATGTATTTGATAAGCAGACTAAATAGAATTGTTAGTATCTGTGGGATTGCTGCTAAAGTTCAACAATCTTCGATAGAATGCATTAAACAATGTAGATGTTATCCGATACTCTCTCATAAAACGTTCCTATGACCATGTATGTAGGCTAATATGGAATCCTCATATCTTTTCAATATTGAACATAATCAATCAACATGAAAGTCGAATGCAACGTTTTACATTAATCCAATCAAATTAAAAATAGGATTCTTTTCTACTTCAGTTTATTGTAGATAGACACTTCGATAAAAAAGGAGAATCAATAAATGACTAAAGCAATGACTCATGCTAATTACTGTTATCCAATTCTATGTGGCCGAAAAAGATGATCTCGAGCAACTAAACAAGGTAGATAAACACTATCAGGTATCACATTTGAATAAACTTCCATATCATATTTTTTTTAACCCAAAATAATGATGGCAACCGCATTCGAAATGTCGCTTAAAGGGCATGGTTGTTTTTTAAATCGAACATATTTGCAGTGAGTGTCAATATTTCAGTTTCCATCGATAATAAATGATCATTCCATTTAATTATAAAATTACTTCCAAGCATTTGAAAATGTTGATTAATATCTTTTAACCATCCTAAAATTCAAAGTCTGCTTCGTATACGAAAGGTTTTAAGTAAGCATGAAGTCTACCGATAAAGTTCTATATATAATTCGATATTGAAAATGATAGACTGTTTTTGATCATAGATGATATATTCTTTTGCTTTGGTTCCACGAAAAGAATCAGCGACAATACAATACGGTGATGTAGGAGTTAAAGACATCATAGAAATATCCAATTGTTGCCTTCATAAATTATCTTATTGAGAAATTCAATCAAATGATACGAAGCAGCTAGAAACAACACTGATGATTATTTAATAAGAAGCAATGATAAACATATAACAGAATACTGTTTAAAAGAAATTTGTTACGAATGTCAAACACTAAAATCTGAATGAATTGTTCCGTAGAAGGAACGTGCTGAGAACATAAGTAGTGCAATGCTCTTGTTGAATGCATCAAAAGATCAAAGTAGTCTTCTTCTGATCGACTATCTTAAGACGATTGCTGAATTACAGAATCAAATTCTTCATTACTTCTACAATACTGTCGATCAGAATATTGAAAAGACTTTAAACAAAAGTTCGTACCAGTTCAAACTATTTGACCGGAACATATATGTCGCCTGGATCGAAATGAACTCAGTAAGAAGTTCAAATCATATTCAGAAATATGATCAGCTCGTTAGTATTAATGATGCACGTGGTTCTATAAAGCAAGAACAATTGAGCCGTGATTAATGAATAAGATTAGTTGTGTCTCATGGAAAAAAATGAGTAACGATGATTCTTATCAATTATCCTGGTTCGCTCGACTACATCTTTATCTATATAAGAACTATAGTGTATCAGGAAATACTTGATGTGGGTGTGGATATGAATGAAGAAAGAATACATTCACACCCACACCCACCCAGACCCAGACCCACACCTACACCCCTCTCTACATGATCATAAATATATACAAGTTGTTTGACATCATTTAAATATTCAACTAAAATATGATGATAAACATCTATACAGTAAATTCTCAATTTAGAAAGATCTATGGACATGTTTATTGTTTTTGCTAATATTCAAGTTCAATCATCTACAATAAATATTGAATTCTAATCGATTCTTACATTTTTCACATAATAATTAATAGTTATCGAAATGGATGTGAATCTTCACAAGTTAACATTTTAAAATAGTTCAAGATCTACACATAAATTATCGACAACAAATTACATTGAATCTTTAAAGAGTTTTTTACTCTTTGAGGTATCGATGTGAGGCGTTATTGGTTTTATATTATCGTTTATCGATGATTCTAGATGACTATGATGAATGAGAATAATAATAAAAAATTGTTTCAGTGTTTTTGTATTGTTGAAAATGTTGAAGACTAAATTGAAAAAACTTTTCATTGAAGATGATAAAAAAAGAAATCTTTAAAATCATACACATAGATTTTGTGAAGTGATTTTTTAATTAAACATTACAGAAAAAATTGAAACACAATATTAGATTTATCTAAAACCTTTGTATTTCCAGTTTGATAGACGTTAGTCAAAGAGTGTCACAGTCATTGTTGATATACAATTATAGACTCTATATCAATAATACTGTTTCGTATTAATACATGAACTACTGTGTCCTTACATGTCTGAAGAATGATAAGGGAATCTATTTTATAGTAGACTTCTGATTGATTAACAATCGTAACTACATCGTCTTCTATATTATAATCATTTAGAAAGTGCACTAATAGATTTTTACAAGAATTAGAAATTCGATGCTGATTTGTCTCATATTTGAAAATGATGGAATTTTCAGTTTTTTTCCTTTTGATTAATTTTGCATGTTTCTAATCTTATTAGAGAACAACATTCATATATTTCTATTGTAAGATTCAAATGTAAAAAGATATTATTTAGTTCTATGTCGTAGCAGGGAGCATGAGAAGAAGAATGAGTCTATATGTGGAGTTTCTATATGGATAACGAGAAGTCTGCTATCTATAATCACATTTCGAATCATTCTAATTTTAGAATCTCTAAATGAAAATAACACTTTGTTTGTAAAAGTATGGTAATCTTTCTAACTCTTGTTCAAAGAATAAATAAAAATCTATTTTAATATCGGATTTGATTGCATAAAATATAGAAAAATTGATTTTTAGATATTCTTTAAATTGTTTACACAAGGAATATTACGAATGAAAGATTCTTTTAATATTCTTTTATTTTTTTAATTAACTACTCTTTTTTCTTTGTATCTATTTAACAGAAAAACAAAAAAATTGAATTGTTTTTTTTAATAGGTAAACATCTCCAAATGAAAGATCTTGTATTAATAGAAATTCTATTTCAATATCAAATTCTTTAATTAAATATTTTTTTCTACGAATTTCCAAAAGAAAAAGACGATAACCTTGAAAAGATTTATAATAACAAATTGCTTTTTTCATGCATATAGAAAATAAAATGATAATTAAGATTTGTGATTTTCAAAATTAGAATTTTGATTGATTTTTTATCGGATCGATTCATTCAAATGTGGGTGTGGGCGGAGGAGCGTCGTGTAGGGAAAGAGTGTAGATCTCGGTGGTGGCC